TGTGTAGTTCAGGCTGGACTTGAACTCACTATGTAGCCCAATCTGGCCTTGAACTCCTGAGGATTCTCCTGTCTGAGCCTCCCAAGTGCTGTGATTACAGCCTGAACTACATAGCAAGACCCTATCTCAAAACAAAACAAAACATGAACCACCACAGAACTCAAGGGCAAATCAACCACTTACTTGCCCCTCACTCACCTACAGTCCCGCCGCAGTCCATAGACCTAGCCCAGAATGGCTGTGCTTGACCCTCGCTCCCAAGGGTCCATGTCTGCTTCCAGGGCCTTTTATTCTCCTCCAAGCAGCACTGTCTGAAGAATGCTTCTCTCCATGAAAGCCAAGCCTGAGCTGAGAGCAGGTGCTGTTTAAGCCTTGCCTCGTAGTCACATCTGCCTCTATTGCACTGGCCAAGGCAAGTCACCCAGTGGTGTGGTGGGAAGCGCACCACCAGTGGAGGCAGGAAGCACACCGCTCACTCCACTGACAGAAGAGCTGGTGGTAGAACTCTCAGTTGAAGCTCATTTTCACTCAAACAGGGAGACCCTGCCGTCAGGCCTTCAAACACCCAGTGGTGCTGGTGAGGAGTTGGATCTATTGGACTCACATTCAATTTCTTTTTATTTTTTTTATTTATTTGAGAGAGAGAGAGAGAGAGAGAGAGAGAGAGAGAGAGAGAGAGAGAGAGTGGTGTGTGTGTGTGGCCAGCTCAGCCCACCAGGGGGCGGGGCTGGCTGGCATGTGGTGCTGGGGGATTGAACCGCGGTCCCTGATGCTTTGCTAAGCTTGTTCTAAGTAGGTGCTTTAGACCACTGAGCCATCTCACCAGCCCTCACATTCAATTTCAAGTTAATTTTTTTTTTTTTTTTTTTTTTTTTCCCGGAACCGAGGATTGAACTCAGATCCTTGTGTTTGCCAGTCAAGCACTTATCCTACTGAGCCATCTCCCCGGCCCCTCAGGTTAATTTTTTTCCCTCTCTCTGAGAACTTTGTTTTTTGGTTTGAGAAATCAAACTCAAGCCCTTGCACTTGCCAGGCGGGCACTGCGCCACTGTATTCTTGCTCTTTCTTTTATAGCTTTTTAAAAAGTTCTGATATGTAAATTATTTTCTACTTTGTTAAATATTGTTTTGCATATGTTAGAGAATACATATGTAATATATGTAAATTATAAAGCATAAAATATAACGAACAAGAAATTTTAAAAATTGAGGGTAGGAGTGTATTTGCAAATCATATATCTTATTTATGTCTACAATGTGTATATTAATTTTTTAAATCTTTATTTATTTATGTGGTACAGAGTCTTGCTACGCAGCTCAGACTTGTAGTGATCCTCCTGTCTTAGCCTCCCCTGTGCTGGGATTACAGGCATGCACCACCATGCCAGGTTTTGGTGGGCGGCTAGGAGGGTCGGGGGTGGAATGGGCATAGCACACAGTACCAGGGGTTAACAGGTCCTTGTGCTTTCTAGGCAGGTGCTTAGACCGCTGAGCTATCTCCCCAGCCCCTATGTCTACAGTATGAAAGAACTCTTTTATGAACAATTAGTTGCCAGGCCTGGTGGTGCCTGCCTATAATCCCAGCACTCAGGAGGCTGGGGCAGGGGTGTCCCTGTGAGTTCCTGGCCAGCCTGGGCTACATAGGGAGTTGAAGGCCAGCCTGCACTATATAGGGAGTCTCAAAAAACAAAAAGACAAACAAGCAGATAAACAAAACCTAGTTATTAATGTTTTAATTTTTTTTTAATTATTGTGGTTAGATGAAAGAGTGAGATTTGGTGTCCAGATGCTGGAACATAGCAACATAGGAGCAGAAGGAGGGAGCGGGTCCCCAGGAAACAGCAAGGGCCCACAGTGAGAGCAAACACAGCAGCTCCAGGCCAGCGAGCCAGCGAGGAGGTGCACCCCTGCTCTCTCCCGGAGCCGGCCGCGTGGAGGAGCGCTCCCTCGACGCGCGGACGGACCACAGCGCCCACTGCCACCCCGGCGTTAGGTGCGACCCGCAGATCGACCCGACCAGGCACTCGAAGCAAGTAGAAGATTTATTGGGGGTACGAAGCAGGCTGTCTGTCTAGCGGGCCAAGACAGCAGCGGATAAAGGGGGCACAGGAGACTGGAATCTCTTCAGGAGGGCACGCGGGCTGGACCCGCTGAGGCGGCGCTGACCGAGGCCCCCGGCCTGTGGGGGCCTTCAAGGTTAGCCAAGGAGCGTTTCTGCGGTCGCTGGCCAGGCCGAGGCGGGGGGCCGGGGTGGCGCTGCGTGGGGCCGAGGGGAAGAGCGTGCGCAGGCTGCCTGGGAGTCCCGACCTCACGCTCAGAGGCTCCCGCGGAGCCGAGTGGGCGCGGACGCCGCAGACGGCACGGCTGGTGAGCGGCTCGGCTCTAGCGCCCGCAGGGCAGGGCGACGGGCGGGGAGCCGTCCCGGGACCGCGGAGCGAGCGAGCGAGCTCAGAATCAGGGCGGCGCCCGCTCCACCCGGCGCCTTCCGGGGCCTCCGTGAGGTGGAGCTGCGTTCGAGTGTGCGGGAGGACAAGGAGCTGAGTTCAAGGCAGCAGGGCCCGCGCTGCAGGCTGAGCAACCCGGGCTCCGGCCGCACGGCCAGAAGCCGGCTGCTGGCGGAGGACCGAGGGCGCGGGCTCCCGGGGACGGGGCGGCGGCGGGACCGAGGGCGCGGGCTCCCGGGGACGGGGCGGCGGCGGGACCGAGGGCGCGGGCTCCCGGGGACGGTGCGCTAACGCCAAGGCTGCCTTGCGGGCTCCAGCAACGCCCACCTGGCTCTCTTTGCCCGCTTTGTCTACCAGCGCAGCAGAGGTACTCCTTGAAGTGGACATTGTTTTTATCTTCCTTTTCTTGTTTTAATTTTCTTTTCTTTTTTCCTCATTTTTTTGTGTTTATGAATGTGAACACTGTTTCGGTTTTTGGTCATTCTGTTCTGTTCTTACGTCTTCCTTTCCTCTGTGCCTTCTGTCTTTACCACTTTCCCGAAGTTCAAGTACCCGTCCTTTGTCCTCCAGCCTTGCCTCAAGTCTTTCTCTTCTTCTATTTCTGTTTTTCCCATAACTTCTTTTAAATGTTCTCCCCCGAGGGAGAAACCACCACACTGAGCGCTTGTTTACTGTATAAATTTTCTGGTTCTTTTTAGATTTTGCTATATAACCACACATATATGCAGTTAAACGTGGTGAATCAACAGTTGGTCGCTTTCTAGACTGTTTGATGCTATTGTTATTGTTGGTTGTACTACTTTACCAAGGTGACATAATTGTTCTAATCAGTTGTTCTTCCTGATATGCCAAAACTGACATTGATGGAAGGTCATAAACAACATGATAGGCCAGAGCCGAAGAACCACAGACCAGGCCACGCAGATGGGTGGCAACTTTGCATCCCCCACTAAAGACATGGAATTTTGCAACAAACTCCAAACTCAGAAGCCAGCCACACCTGGAAAACAGCTCTGAGAAGCGGCCATTTCCTAAGGATTCTAAATCCTAGCAGGAAAACTACCTGACATGAGCAACTTACCAGAATCAACCCAGGTTTTAAACTAAAAAAAAGAAAATGAGAAGACACGTAAGCGAGACGTGGTCACAGACTTCCAGCTTGCCAAGGCAGATACGGGCAATAAGGTGGAGCAATTCCAAGGCCGCCCCGGACTCTCTGAAGTGGCAGCCGCGGAAGCAAGAGCCGACAAACCAGGCTCTAGTAAGCAATCAAGTCAGAAATAACTGCAGAGTCGGTGACATATTGAAGGACATGATTCGTGACTTTAGAGCAAACACAAATTTTAAAAAATACAGGAGCTTAAGAAAATGATGTAAATCATGAATGCTCACCACAGCAAAGAAATGAAATCCATGAAACAGATTTAAGCAGATACTTAGGACAGTAAACATTTCAATGGAAGTATACTTAGCAGGATGAATCAGTGTCATGCAGAATACCAGATATAGAGGCAGGAGTGTTGCTGGCCCTCTTGAAAAGAAAGATTTTTTTTGCTGGTCTTTTTGAGACAAGGTCTTGCTTGCAGTTCAGGCTGACCTTGAGCTCATTTGGTGGACCAGGCTGGTCTCGAACTCAAAACAGTCCTCCTGTTTCAGCCTCCTGAGTGCTGGGATGACAGGGATACAGCACCTGCCCAGACATTGGGTTTTTTTTTTTAACATAGCAAAGGAACACAAAAATTCAATTCAACACCTGCTAGATAATGCAAAGAAGAACATAATAATGATTAGAGTCAGTGAAAAAACAGGAGCTAGCACAAATGACATTAAAAAAAATTGTCACAGAAGTAGTGGCAAAAGCAGTGCTGGAAAATAAAGGTAAGGCAGAGGCATCATAATCCCTGATTTGAAATAATACTACAAAGCTACTGTAATAAAACCAGCATGGAGGGCCGGGGAGATGGCTCAGTAGAATAAGTGCTTGCCTGGCAAGCTCAAGGGCCTGAGTTTAATCCCAGGTTCTGAAAAAACAAAACAAAACAACAACCCAGAATGGCACTTGCAAAACAAAACAAAAACAAACAGACCTCAGGCTCAGTGGAACAGATCAGGAGACACAGAAACAGCTCCTAATGCACTCAGCCCCCTCATCTCTAACAAAGGAGCCAAACACGTTCACTGAAATAAAAATGGCCTCTTTAGTAAATGGTCCTAGAAAAACTGGCTTTCCACATCTCATCCCAAAGATTAAAACTAGAGCCCTATTAAAACTAGATCTAATTTTTTTTTTTTTTTTCAGAACCAGGGATTGAACTCAGGCCCTTGAGCTTGCCAGGCAAGCGCTTATTCCACTGAGCCATCTCCCCAGCCCTAGATCTAAATATTAAAAACACTAAATCTGCTGGGAGATGTAATAGGCAGAACTCTTGAAGACATTGGTATAGGCGAAGACATTATGAAAAAGACTCAAATCATATGGGAATTATCACAAATTATAAAAAAACCTCAAAAACAAAACCCCTGGGATTTCAGGGCAGGGGAGTAGCTCAGCTACGTAACACCTGCCTGGCAAGCGCAGGTGTTTGATCCCTGGTACTGAAGGGGGAAAAAGACTTTTGTGTAGCAAAAGAAATCGCCAATAAGACCTGGATGTGGTGAGACATACCTGTACTTGTAGCACTTGGGAGACTGAGGCAGGAGGATTACCAAGACTTCCAGCCAGCCTGGGCTATAGAAGCAAGTTTAAGCCCTGCACTACATAGCAAGATCTTTTTCACAAAAGGTGGGGAACAGGGATATAGCTCAGAGGTACAACCCCGGCTTGGCAAGCATATGGTCCTGAGTTCAATTCCTGGTACCTTAAAAAAGAAAGGAATAAAAGAACCACTAAGAGAGTGAATAGATAACCCTTTGTGGGGGGTATACTGAAATGGAACTCAGGGGATTGCAGTTGCCAGGCAGGTACTATGCTACTGAGCTGTCTCCCTGGCCCAACAACCCAGATTTTTTTCCAGCTGTTCCTCAGACAAAGAGCTAATATCTAGAATGTAGAAAGAACTCAAAAAAATCAGCCCCCCAAATTTAAAGACCCAACCCAAAACTGAGCATCTGAAATGAATAGACACTTCTCAGATGAAGAAATAGAAATGAACAATACATATATCTAAAAAAGTTCAACATTACTGGCCCTTGGAGAGACGTAAATTAAAACAACACTGAGATTCCATCTCACCCCAGAAAGAAGGGCTGTCATCAAGAAATCAACCAATAACAAACACTGGAGGGGCTGTGAGGGAAAGTGAGTTCAAACCCGTCCTCAGCTGTGTGATGAGAACCTGTCTCGGCACTGTTGGTGGGAGTGTAGACTGGTACAACCGCTGTGGAAATCAGTGTAGAGTTTTCTTTAAAAACTACAACTGAGGTTCCATTCAAGCCTGCTCATCCTCTTCTCGGTATCTTCCTGAAAGAATTAAAAGCATCCTACCACAGCGACACATACACACATATGTTTATAATGACAAAGTTTGTCATAGCTAAGTCTTGAAGACAGCCCAAATGCCCATCAACTGATGAATGGATAAAGAAGATGTGGGGATTCTATCTATCTATCTATCTATCTATCTATCTATCTATCTATCTATCTATCTATCTATGTATATAGTGGAGTAGTACACTGCTATGAAGCAGGATAAGCTTGAACCATTTCTAGGTAAATGGATGAACCTTGCCACACACGGTGGTGCATGTCTATATTCCAGCACTTGAGAGACTGAGGCAAGAGGACCCCTGCAAGTTCACAGCCAGCCTGGGCTACATAAGCAAGTTTAAGGCCAGCTGGCACTACATGGCAAGACCCTGTCTAAAAAAATAAATAAATAAATAAA